TAATACCGTATATATGTATGTGCGTAACACTAGTTTACACATTATCAAAAACTAATAACATGGTGTCATCTTAAGAATTTGAAACGAAACTGGATTTCTGAAGAGATATTTTCTACAACAGGTTACATGTAAAGAAAATGCGTTAAAATGTAATACATCAAGTGGAATACAGTAAATGCAATAAATAAGAGGAATAATCATCATTATACTTATTGCATTGTTTTACTTGATGTTTCTTGGTTCAGTATAATTATTGCCTACATTTTAATATGCAGTGTAAACAATATAAATATTGGATGTCTAATTATTTTATAGAATTGTCAGCTAATGAGTTCAGAGTGCTTAAAGCTGTTTTCTCACAAGGGTATGATAGTGACAAAAGTCTTAATATGCTAAAAGTGTTGTTCAGAGACAAGATGGACATTAACGAGCTGTCACTAGTAACTAATGTAATGGACTTGCTGAATAATTTGATTAAACGTAATCATCTGAGTTCACAGAATATTGGACTTTTGTGTGACGTTATTAGCGTAACTAAACATTGGTATCTTCCAACGAAGATTAAAGCCCCATTCCCGGCAAAATTTCAGTTTTTAAGAAAAATCTAATTTTTGTATAATTTTATAAAGATTTATAAATATAATACGGAATTGCTAGTTTAACTGCATTTAGACATTCCTAAGAATGAAAAAAAATGTAAAAAAAGACTGAAATCTGATTTTTTGTGTTCCGCCTAATCGAACGACCGCATTGTGCGAGATGTGAAGTAAAAAAACTAATCTCATTAGAGAGGGCGCACTTTATTGACTGTATAAAGTATACATAAAAGCGAGAGTATTCCAGTGGATGCGATCTACAACCTCTGAATTTGCCTAGTAACGATGAATTCATCGAGAAAATGGTAATATTTTATGAGAAATAGTCTGTATTTCTCTTTTTTTTTTATTCTTTTGCGTAAAACTAAAATTCATGCCAATATTTTTCCATGATTTATAATAATTGGAGTAAAGCAAATGCATATTTTCTTTAAAAAAAAGTCAATTTTTAGTGAAATTTTGCCGGGAATGGGGCTTTAAAGAAAAAGTGCCAAAATTCCCGGATGTTATGGAAGGAACCATTTTAACAGAATTCACATCTCACAGACAAAAACTAATGAACTTTGGAATGTCACTGTCCAAAGCTGATGTGACAAAGATTGATGAATTGTATAATGAGCCCTATAAGAAGGATTATACAGATAGCTAGAGTATGATATGATTTTGTATGCACGCAATGGAACATGCTGCCACGTGATAGGGGCGCCCTATTAAATTTCGAATAGAGTTCACTCAAAACTTTTAAGTTTTAAGGACACGCCCCTTCGTGGCACTACTTTTAAAAATAGGATTACGTTTCAACGAAACCACGAGAGTTGGACCTCTTGTAGTTCTATAGTCTTTTATAAGAGAAATAATCTTCATGCACTTATCGCATTGTTCCACTTGATGTTTCTTAGTTCATATTATTTTTTCAAATTATTTTTTCCTTAACTTTGTTTAGATAATTACTGTTTTTAGATAATTATAAAATAAAAAAACTACCTAAATTGATTGTGGTGGACCCAGCATCACTATACGTTCTAATACCATAGCCATGGACAAATAATTCTGTTATATCTCTAGTGCCTAATGTCTTATATGCAGGCAAACGTCCTAATTCCACAGCCTGGTCAAATAATTATGTTACATTTCTAGTACCTAATGTCTTATATGCAGGCAAAAATCCTAATTCCACAGCCTGGTCAAATAATTCTGTTACTTTTCTAGTGCCTAATGTCTTATATGCAGGCAAAGGACTTAATAAATTGTATGGAAGAGAATTGTAAACTTCACAATTTTTTTTTTAGAATTATATTATTATAGTTATTTACTGTATGTTTGGTAGGGATTGCTTGTAATAATTAATACTAATAATAGGTAATTTACTCCCGGCAATTGTTAAAACATTAATATTAATATTGAAATATATTCATGAAAAATCTACATTTAAAAAATGCAAATGGGAAATGATATAAATATTGAATGTATAATTATTTCATAGCATTGTCAGATAAGGAGTTGCGAGAGCTAAAAATTGTCTCACAGTGGTATGACAGCAACGAAAGAGTTTTTTTTAAAGTTTTAAGGACACGCCCCTTCGTGGCACTACTTTTTAAAATAGGATTACGTTTCAACGAAACCACGAGAGTTGGATCAATTGCAGTTCTAATCTCTTTGATAAGAGGAATAATCTTCATACATTTATCGCATTGTTCCACTCGATGTTTCTTGGTTCCTTATTTTTCAATTAATTTTTTCTTAATTTTGTTCAGATAAGGAGTTCCAAGAGCTAAAAACTATTGTCTCACAATGGTATGACAGCAACGAAAGTGTGCCTTTGCTGAAAGTGTTGTTCAGAGACAAGATAGACAATTACGAGCTATCACCAGCAACTCACACGATGGACCTGCTGATTATATTACTTGCACGTGGTCATCTGAGTTCACAGAATCTTGGACTCCTGTGTGATACTATTAGCATAACCAACCAGTTTGGTCTTTTAAGGAAGATTAAACAAAAGCTGCCATCATTCCCAGATGTTGAGGAAGGAACCATTTCAAAAAGATTCACATCTCACAGACAAATGGTAATGAAATTTGGAAAGGTACTGACCCCAGATAATGTGACGCAGATCGATCAATTTTATAATACGCCTCCTAAGAAGTATAAAGACGGCTGGAGTATGATCAACGATCTAGAAGACCAACAGAAAATCAGCGAAGAAAATATGAAGGAATTCACTGATTCACTGAAAATCCTTGAGCTCAGTTTGGCATTAAAAGCACTAACAGAAGGTATTTCTTTATTCTATTCATTAATTTATTTAAGTTGTGCCGGTATAGAGACAAATGCACTAAGATTAAACATTAAAGCTGCAGTAAATTTTAATTTAGCAAGTATAACAAGTATAGCTAAGGAGTTTACCGATAAATTTGACATAAGATAGCATGAAATAAACTCCGAAAAATTATTACTGAAGATGATAAACAAGTAAATTAGATTTTATTAAGCGTGTTTAGCAAAATAATCCTAATTATTTAAAAATACAATTGGTTTTTATTTTTTCACAGTGTAATTAACTCACTAGTGATGTCGGAACTCAGCTGATGATGTTTTTCGTTAAGCCAAGCCAAACTAAAAGATTCCGATGTTGGTACATATTCTTGATTGAAGTGAAAAGAAATAAAATATTTAAGCAGAAAACTTATATCAATACATTTGTCATTACATTGATGATGAAGTTGATTCGGCACTACTGTAGTTCTTACTCAAAAGACTTCTGGGTAACACCAGATATGTCAGTCGTCATCAAGCCTGCAAATCTAATTCGTATTTATCAGTACAGTATCTGAAACAATCATTTTGTCACTATCACAATGCAGGAAGTTTGATCAAGGCTGGCGTAATCTGAAAGACTACCAAATGAAGTCAGGCGGAGGTTCCAGAGAAATAAAAGCATGTAAGAAATTACATAATGCATGGATAGCCAGTCTAACATACAGTACTTACCTGATTACGTCAGTACGTACAGCTCGTACACCAAGTTCCCCTTCCCCCCACCACTTCACACACACACACACACACACATGCAAAATAGTACATGGATCACAATGTTAGTATTGTAACATAAATGATTGCAATACGCATGTAATAATGTCGTCATCACAGTATAGGCCTAGTTGTATAGACATTCACGTGGAGTGGATTTTTATCCTGGTCGATAAAATGTTTGTTTTAACATCCCCAGGGTCCTGGGTACAAATCCTGTAACATCAAAATTGTGTTTTCTCATGAATAAAATGACGTCACTCCCTAACGCTGCTATGCATTAACATTAACTACTTTTTAGAAGTTTATTTTATACGAAATTCAATTCATATAATTATACTTGAAGGTCAATGGATAAATGGGATGTGTATCACACACTTTAATTAAATTTATATAATTTTTATTTTTAATTGTTATAATTGTACAGTTTAAATAATTGTAATATTTATACTGTATAATAATAATAGTGCCTATCATGTTTAATTATTATACCTAATAAGCAGTAATTCACTTTTGTACGTATAATTATGAGGTATTTTTGAGTAAGTCTAATTTATATTTTTATATCAATATTACAATCAATGACTAATGTGCAACATTGATGATCTAAATCATGTACTTTCAACATCAAAATTGTGTTTTCTTATGAATAAAATGACGTCACTCCCTATTGCTGCTATGCATTAACATTAACTACTTTTTTTTATACGAAATTCAATTTATATATACTTGAAGGTCAATAGATAAATGGCTTGTGTATCACTCACTTTAATTAAATTTATATAATTATAATTTTTAATTGTTATAATTGTACAGTTTAAATAATTGTATTTATACTGTATAATAATAATAACAGTGCCTGTCATGTTTAATTATTATACATAATAAGAAGTAATAATTCACTTTCGTAGGTATAATTATGAGGTATTTTTGAGTCAGTCTAATTTATATTTTTATATCAATATTACAATTAATGACTAATGTGCAACATTGATGATCTAAATCATGCAATTTAAATACTGTAAATATGAATTTGAAATGATAATAATGTAATAATTAAACTTTTAGGAATTCAAACTTATACTGAACAGTTTTTTATAGAGTAAGTGTTATTTATAGATTTATAGTTAATGGTTCAATTATAATTATGACTTTGAATTGAATTATCCGACTTGTTTATGTATTAAGATGATAAGTTAAGTATTTTTTCAAAAATAGTTCCCCATATCTTAAGCCCAGTTTACAAATTTTGTGACGTCATATTGTAATATAATATAATTGAATTTCTAAACTTTCGGACTACTAAAATTTCAATGAAGTACCGGTATCCTATTAATATACATAACACCGGCTAGATATTTTCTCCTCTTTGTATTTTATGTGGTGGAGTGTTTTTTTTTAATTCCTTTTATTCCTTAATGATGCTTTATAAACTAAGTCACTTTATGATGCTTAT